CTGGACTCGAAAACTAATTACTTTTAATGGAACACAATAGGCTGTAGGAGCCTCAGGGAAATTATATTCAGAAATGATTATATTAGACTCAGAGTTAGCTAGAAATTATTACAAAGTGTTTAGGACAGATGTCTAGTACAAAAAGCACAAGATTTAAAGCAAAATGATTTATATTATTTGAAAAAGTTGTTTTACGTACATTTCATCATAATTTAAGTAAAACTTAGTAAAGCAAGGGAAACGTCTAGAATTAAGCACAATGAACTCAATCTTAAAAGAATAAATAACAGAAGAGAGGTTGTCACTATTATGAAGGTGACGAAAGATATGTAATATAGAACATGGAGGTCAAAAAATGCTATCTTACGTTAAAAAAGTTTGATGAACAAAAGTTACAATGGCTGCGGGATGCGAACCCGGTTCTCTGCGGCGAATTATCACGTATCTAACTGATTGAACTATACAATCTTATACTTAAATTTATATCTTATTAAAATTAAAAAACAATATTTTCTAAGATCTATACTTCGAAAAGCGTATTCAAACAGGACTCTACATACCTTTTAAATCTGCAAGAACTTTAGTAACGTGCACACTTTTAGAAATTATTGAAATAGGTATATTTTATCAGAAATATGCTTAAGCTAAAGCATATTTTTGAGCCTCTTTTTACTATTTGCTGAAGCATATTCGAACCTGTTTCAAAAATTTCATATGCTTTAAAAAAAAAAAACATGTATATTCCTACCCATCATTCTTATTTTTAATATACGTAATGAGTTCAAAAAACATCGTTATATATATTTATTATGGCACGTTTCGTAAGTTTATTTCCGTTAAGAATTCTTTCGTATGTTGTGATCCGAAATACTTTTGTTTCAAAAGAAATTTTATTTTTTATAAATATTTCTAAAAATAAAACCATAAAAATTATACTGAAAATAAAAATTCATTATTATACTGAAAATAAAAATTCATTATAAATTTTGGGATTTAAAGATGTTAATTTTTAGAATTAAAATCAGTCTGGCAAACAAATTTTCTTTATAGAATTCAAAACGTCGTTTGGCGAAAATCTTTGTTTCGCAAGTGCGACTTTTGAAACCGCTACTTTCGTATGTTGCAAAATAGTTATGTTGCGTATGTCAACTTGCGAAATGTTAAATTTCGGAAGTAACTTTTGCGAAATGAACATCGGCAATTTTAAATGTTTTTACGAAAAAATGTAATTCCTCGTTCTCAATCTCCTTACGAAAGAATGTTGTTTTTCCGGAATTGCACGAAATCCTTCGGTTAACAACCCTAGTATAAACTGAATTTACACCAAGTTTTATTGTTTATGTTTAAAACAAAAATGGGATTGTCCCCATTAATTTTTTAAACCTATTTTAATAAAATTAATCATAAATATTCAACAAAGTTTTCTGATAACAACTTTGTTCTTCTCAAGTATAATTAAAAATAACCTCCTATTCAATTAAATATCGCGGACCTTATCTGTGGAAATTCTCAGATATTGTCAACAAAAACAAGACTACATTAGAGCAATTTAAAAATGAATCAAAACAATTATTACTATTCAGGGATCTTAATTTATCTGACTTTAAATGTTTATTTTAAAGTTTAATCAAATAAAAACAAATTTATTTATATCAATGAAATTTAAGTAACAATGTTAAAAATTCATCTTGTGATAATGTTAATTATGAAATTTTTTTTTTATTTAAAACTTTTTGTTTAAACAATTTTTAAATATTTTAGCGGTTGTTAGCATTTCAACAATTCTTAATTATTTGCTATTTTAAATTTCTTAATTTTCTCAATTATTTTCTGTTTTAATTCTGATCTATATTTTATATATTTGTATTATATATATTTGTATGTTACGGTTATGTAGAATTTTTTTTATGTAGAGTTTTTTTTATATTTGGGGCTCGGCGATAAGGCAAACTGTGCCTTCTTCTTGCTCCTGCCATTAATTTTGATATAGTATATGCAATGTAAATATTCTTTAACGGCGAAATAAATTACACCAAAAAAAAAAAAAAAAAAAAAAAGTTATGAATATGGTTTTCGGTATGTTTAAGTGAAATTTTTTAATTTATGCGTGATAAATAAATGTTCAAAGCCTAAGTGAAAAAATGTTCTTTACTTAGGCGATTTTACGGTATATATATTTTCTTATTATTATTATTATTTTTTTTTACTTTTGAAATGGATTTTTTTTTGTTGATAACAAGTAAAAATTATTAAACAAGGGGGGAGGGAGATGTTAACAAGCATGGGAAGGAGGGATATAACTTTCCAAAAATTAATTAACGTTCCCTCTCGTGTATTAAGCACCTAAAAGTACGTCATTAATTGACGTGTTTGCAAAAATAACTTTTCATAACTCCGAGCACGAGTAGTTTTGAACCTTTTTATTTAAACAGATGACGATCTGCATGGCTGCACTCTGTGTTGCTCATGATTTTAACTATGATTCGTTGTGAAAATCCTCTCAACCGAACTCGGTCTTCTCTGTCATATTTGCAATTACTTTTTATTTTATCACCCTCTGCGTCAGGTCGTGGTGGTGTCACCCGGTGTAGCCGCACCTCCTAGTGATGCCACTAACGAATTTACTTTCTTGTTCTTGTCTTATTTTGGGCTCAGATGAAAAAAGCCATATGGTTGAAATGTCAATTACAAATATTTCAGTATTTATTTTTAATTAGGGATCGTCCATAAACTAGGCAACACTAAATTTTACTAATAAACAAAACAAAAAAGATCAAAAGTTTTCAAGCACAGAGTCTTAAGTTAAACAAAAAATCAAAATGGCGCATTAAATTCAATGAAAATTGCGGCAAAAAAGAGCTCAAAAACTCATACTTCTGTTTTTAAAATAAATTTAGCATTGCTTATTTTATAGACGATCCATTTGATCAGTTAAAGTAGCATAATTTTTTGTTAGTCGAGTTATTTATTTATATATAGTTCAAATAAAACCATTTGTATAGATAATAAGGGAATTTTTACGCGTTCTTAATGTTGTTATAATTGAGCAACCTAAATTCAGAATACCCACTAAGTAAAAGCCTTCTTTTTAAATATTATCGTTTGCAATTAAACTTTTAAATTATTTGTTTAATGCTTTTTTATTGTTAGAAAATGGTTTATTTATGACATGCGGAATTACATTTTTGCGGGTGTTGTTTATAACTTAATCTTGTTAAATTTAAATTTTTTGTTAAAAAAGCTGTTTATCTTTTGGATGAAGGTTTTAGAAATCTAGTATAATCTTAAAAAAGAGTTTGAAACATTCTTTTTTTTAAATTAATCATAAGAGTTCCCTATGACAACTGCATATACTAATGGTTGATAGGAAAAATATTTCAAATTGAAATTAAACACAACTTTGCATTTAAAAATTTCAAAATAAATAATTATATATGCTGCATTTTTATTATCTAGATGGTAATAACAAAATGATTTAATTGATTTCATGTGAAAATGGTGATAATAAGTTCCACTCAAAAGCTTTATACACGAACGTGTGTACAACTTCTGTATTAAAAACAAAAAACAAAGAAAAGTTAAAAATATGAAATTTTATAGCTGAAAACATTCTAAAATCTATCATATATTATACGATAGCATGTTTGAAAAAAAAAGGATATTTAGTGGTAATATTCAAAAAGTTTGAAAACCGGTTCGCACCTTTAAAATGTTTGTGAAAACATACAAAACACCGCACACTCAAAAAAAAAAAAATAATAATAATTAATTCTAAAAATGTGAACATCTTCAAAAACAAGTTTGATCGTTTCGAAAAAAACAAAATAAAAATATAAAACAAACAAAACAAAAAAATATATATAAAAAGAAAAAAAAAAAACATTGCAACGGCTGTCAAAGTTTTAACATCTACAGATGTTAGACTGACACACTGTATGTGTACAGCAAAAAATTTATTATTATTATTATTAAAAAAAAAGAAAAAAGAAGCAGATTCTAACAAAATTAATAATGCCGATATAAATGATTATAAATGCTATTAATTTTAGCATTAGTTTAATTGCTATTTTGAACCACGTAAAAATAATTAAAGAATGTTACGTTACGTATGCAGAGGCGATTTTACGGAAGAGGAAGGGGGGTGCGGGGTGTTCCACCCCCACTAAGAAGGTGATTTTCAAGTTAAAGTCGGTTTTTTTAATAAATTAAGTCGGCCAGTCAGGTAAATTTTAGTTACCCCTCCCCCTCATTTTGTTCGTAGAATCGCTTCTGCACGTACGAATATTAGCGTTTTAATTTAATTTACATTCAAACTCAGATTAGAACCCTTTCCACGATTTTTAAAACCTATGTTTTTATATTTATTAAATTTTTATAATGTACCCTATAAAAACTGATTATAAAAAAAGATTTGAAACTGCTGTTTCACGAGAACCAACAGTTTCAAATCCTTTTTTACGACTCAAGTATTGTACAATTAATGTAAATGATCAATTTCATTCTAGCAACACACACACACACACACACAAAATATATATATATATATATATATATATATATATATATATATATATATATATATATATATATATATATATATATATATATATACATATATATATATATATACATTCTTGTTAAACAATATAAAAAAAGGAAACACGAAAAATCAAAATATTTGCTAAGTGCTTAATATTTTGTCAACCAAAAAAATTAATTTATAAACTTAAAGGCTACGCAAATTCCAAATTTTACACCCATACCCAAGTCTCATGTTCACCTGACGTTTCCCCCTCTCAATTTAGGGAAATTTAACCGGTATTATTCTAACAATATTTCTTTAGGTATTTTTTTCCTAAATAAATTGCAATATTTTAAAAATAAGGTTTAGTATTAAATGTTTGGACCACAAATAAAAAATGCAGTTTGAGTTTGACAAGATTATTGTTATAAGTTATTGGTTTTTGGGCTGAGTTAATCACATCAAACCAAAAACTATATAATAAAACAAAACATTTCTATAAGATTAATAATTACATTGGTGTATATTAACAAAAATCTACTTTGGTGATTGAAAAAACTCTATCTTGACTGGACCCTAAATGGAAGTCCGTATATAACAGGCGCGGCACCTATTAGATATTCTAGATTACAGGAACTTCTAGATTGGCTAACACAGGATGCTAATGATTCTCCAGAACTCTCTGTCACCCATTCTTTCAAAAGCTGTTCCAAAAATAAATCAATATCTTTATCTGTTACTTCCCACAAGTTAGCGACTACTGCAGGACTAAAAGTATGACATGTAATATAATAATATAATGTAATAAAATTAATTATACAAGTGAGACTTGCACCTAAAATATTTTTCAGAAGGAAAGGGAATGAAATTTTAATATAAATTTAAAACAGTATAAATATATAGTCAAAAATTTAAAAGGTTTTTAACTTGTGATAAAAGTACGACCTTAGAAATAGCATTGTTGCACAAAAAATTAGTGATATCCCAACAAAATCAACCCAGGGTGCCCCATTAAATCAACTTTATTAAAATGTCATTGACAATGAGTTAACGATTAAAACAAATGTTAAAATAAATTATTAGTTAAAACGTTGCAATTTTTTAATCATAAATTATCTAAATAAAAATTTGAATTTTTTTTTTTGCATTTTCTTTACATTCAAATTCGTCTGTGCAACTTATAAAAATAATTGTTTACTACTGTTTCTATCCACTAGATAATAAGAAAAACGTTTTCCTGCTCAACACCATCCAATATTTCAATTTTTGATTATAGTGGCACTCCTGGTCCATACGAAAGTGAATTTATATAAAACATCTTTAAAAAACATAATCAATAAACAATGTTTATTGATCTTGTTTTGGAATACATTTAAAAAAGTCCTTGTTGAATACTATTCAGATTTTTTATAAAGATCTAGCAACTTGCCATTATTCAAGATACAACTTTATGATACCTTAATTACTTTATGGTTTGGCAATAAATTTTTTCACACAAACACGCATGCAAGTAGGGAAGACCGAGGTCAGTTGAAACACAATTCTATAAACTGTATTTATACCCTATAACTGTAAATTTTTTCAATTTTTTTTCATGGTCATAAAATAGATCTTAATCACGTATTAATCCAACAACGATAAATATAATATCAAATTTAGTTATGCAGCAATAGTGAAACAAAAATTTGTTTCAAATTACCCCGCACTGTGGCAAATTGCAACAGACGGGGTAAATTGCAACACAATACTTTTAATGTTTTGCAGAATTCACAGAGAAATTACAAGTTAATCTGTAATTTCTATTTAGCAACAAAAAATTTATAATTCTAAAATAATACTTAATATTATATAATAACAGAAATAACTTGAAAAATGACAATATCAATAAAAATCCCGCAGTTATTTAATGATTTAACTTACCCCAAGCAATTTGATGCAACTTACCCCGTTGGCATCATAATCACTCCAATCAATGTATACAATTATTCGCATTAAATAAATCTACTACTTTTATCTTTTTGTGTTTGAAAAAGATTTGTTTAACTTACCACTATTTTATTATGGTCATATACTTCTCAGTTTACAGTAAAACCCGAAAAAAATTATAATTTTATATCGAAAAAAAAAAATATCAATAACTTGAAATTTTTAATTTATTACTATAAGTTTTTTATAGCTTACGTGTTATAATTATAGTTATATATTAAAAAAATCGCATTGTTTGTATATCTATATATATCTATATATATATATACATATATATACATATATATATATAAATATATATATATATATATATATATATATATATATGTATATATATATATATATATATATATATATATATATATATATATATATATATATATATATATATATATATATGTATATATATATATATATATATATATATATATATATATATATATATATATATATATATATATATATATATATATATACATATATATATATATATATACAAACACACACACACTTACCATCCAGCTAATAAATAATAGAGTACCATCCCATAAGCTTCAAGATAACCATGCACCTTGGAATGAAACAAAAATAATTTTTTTAATAAGATAGACACAAATCAATAAAAACGTCCAACTTAAAAAAAGACTTTAAAAAAAAAGTTTAAAATACCTGAAGTTTGCCACTACTGCATCCCATAAGAAGTGAAACTGCACGACAATCTAACTGCTGGATATCATCCCATCCAAGATATTCTTGGCCACTTCCATGACCACAATATCTTAGAGAAACATATATATATATATATATATATATATATATATATATATATATATATATATATATATATATATATATATATATATATAATCTTAGAGAAATATATATATATTTATATATATATATATATATATATATATATATATATATATATATATATATATATATATATATATATATATATATAATCTTAGAGAAATATATATATATATATATATATATATATATATATATATTATATATATATATATATAATATATATATATATATATATATATATATAATCTTAGAGAAATATATATATATATATATATATATATATATATATATATATATAATATATATATATATATATATATATATATATATATAATCTTAGAGAAATATATATATATATATATATATATATATATATATATATATATATATATATATATATATATATATATATATATATATATATATATATATATATTGATACAAATCAAATTTTCTGTTGATCTACACTTGGTGGATATTTTAAAAAATTAGTTGATTAAAGAGCTGCATTCAAAAGTTATTGATCATCATAATAAACCGGATTAAGATTTCTTCCAAAATTGATCTGCGATGCAAAGCATCTGTTACCTAAAATGGTACTTTTTTCATAAAACTTTTTATATGCACTAATCAAAAAGTGTTAACTAATAAAAACCAAAAACTTATTAAAACCCCAAAAGTAAGTCTCTAAAGGTCAGGTAAACTTTTGGGCACTTATTTAAAATCTCTAAAGAAAGTCTTTAAATGTCAGGTAAATTTTCCATTAAACTATTATTATTATTATTATTTTAATTATTGCTTCATTTAAATTTATAATACTGATATGTCCATCTAAAAAGTACTATTAAAACCAAATAAACTGTTATTGTTTTTTAGAACTAAGTAATAATCAATAATATGCCTGATCTTTTTTCTTGTTGTATTGGTAAAACGTTAAATGAACAGTGCTATCAAGTTTAACAAGTCTAAAAAAAGTAAATGTTATAATGATCTAAACTAAACAAGAGATTCTTTCTTTTAGAAGTAAAGAAAATTCCATAGATTTTATTTATTACATTCACAAGAAAGTTTGGTTATTCAGGTTTGAGATTGAATATTGAAGTTTGGTTGCTGAGGTTTGAGATTGAATATTGAAATTTGGTTGTTGAGGTTTGAGATTGAATATTGAAGTTTGGTTGTTGAGGTTTGAAATTGAATATTGAAGTTTGGTTGTTGAGGTTTGAAATTGAATATTGAAGTTTGGTTGTTGAGGTTTGAGATTGAATATTGAAGTTTGGTTGTTGAGGTTTGAGATTGAGTATTGAAGTTTGGTTGTTGAGGTTTAAGAATATTAAAGTTTGGTTGTTGAGGTTTAATAATATTGAAGTTTGGTTGTAATCTTTTGAACAAGCAAAAAAAGTGAAAACTTTCAATATTTAACCTAATAGCTTTAATTTAACACAAATACCTTTTTTATACCTTTATACCAATTTATACCTTTGGTAATAAATAAATTTAAAAAAAATATTTAATAAATCTTATCTTTTACTTTAAGATTCTCTTAAAGTTATTAGTCTTTCATATTCCAAATATTTTGGTTTAATACCTGGTCAAAAAATTTGCACTAGTTACAGAAAAACACTGCACTGCAAACATCATGAAACAAAAGAAAATGAACTCCAAGAAAAAGAAATTTATGTTGACAACCTAACATTATTAGAAGATCTTAATTTAAGTATTCCATACTTTGGATGCCCAACTCTCAAACTTGTTTCAAAAAAAGATAGAGTTGCATATGGAAAGTATAAACTTGATAACTTAGGAGCTCTCACTCTCAAGTCCTTAACATATTTTATTGGTTGACGTTTTTTTTTGTGGAAAACTTTCCCACCTACCCCAAACTGATTAAGCTTGGGGTAGGTGGGAATTACCCCCCCCCCCCTCCTTATTAATTTTTATTACAACAAAAATCAGTGAAACTCGGCCTTAAAAATTAAAAAATAACTAATTCAATGTAAACAGGCTTTAAAAATCATTAACCAAGTAAATCTCAATTTGTCGAAAAGGAGCTTTTGGTTTATTTCTCTCCAAAGTATAAAACTTATATCACATATATCCTTTTTAATTATTATAAAATAGCTGTTAGAAAATGCGCATTTGACCACACTAAAATTAAATAGTTTTATGTGTGTTTTGTAAAAAATATTGGTTTGGATTTATAAACTGAGATTTTTTATAAAAAATACTTAAATGTTAACATAAAAATCACCCCCCCCTCTTCTTTTATTAGATCTGGACTAAAATCCCACCCCCCCACTTTGTATTAAGTACTCGAGGGTAGACAAAAGGCTGTTGCCAATTGCATTGATAGCATTGTTCAATTCTATCAATGCAATAAATGTTCAAGAATTTGTCCAGGAAAAAAAGAGTTTGTTTCAGTTAAATTAGATGGTATAAAGCAACATCCAAAAATGACTTCTTTTAGTAAATATGAAAGAACTTCATATTGAGTTAAAAAAGAAACAACATAATTATCTCTAAGTTGGGTTTTCAAAATTTTGTGAGCTAAGAACCAGGTGGTGCATGATCTATATGTAGTTTGTGTTTGCCAGTACGATCAAAATGTAAAGCCTTATGTACAGAAAATTCCTAGAATTTCTGATTACAAAAGTTTATTAAAATTAATGATTTGTAGCATTAAAAATAGAGATTGTGTACTGCATAGCTGCGATAAATATCCTGGAAAAGAGGTTTTGTCTTATTACAGTGACACTTTGTTTATTGAAAATCAAATTAGTGAAGTTAATTTTTATCAAAAGCAAAAATCAAGTTTCCAATATACTTTAACAACAGCAACTTTACCTGAAGATGAATTTATTGAAATGGTTTATGAACAGTTAGATAATTTACGAGAGCATTATTTTATATAAAAAAGTCAAGCCACCAACTTCCAATATTTAAAAACTTAAAAGAAAAACAAGCTTCACTTCTTCTTGACTTAGCTGAAAACTATAATTTTTTGATATAGAATGCAGTACAAGGTTTTCACTGGAACAACAGCCAGGCAATTTTGCACCCCTTTGTTGTTTATTTTATAAAAGATGAAAAACATGATAATTAAAGTTATTGTGTTAAATCAACTCATCTGAAACATGGAACAGATCTGTTTATCACTTTATAAATAATGTTATTGATAAACTTAAAAAAAGTACACACATTTGAACACATCTATTTTAGTGATGGAGCTGCATCATAATATAAAAATTACAAAAATATTATCAACTTATTTTACCATATACAAATTTTTGACATTACTGCAGGGTAGCAATTTTTGCAACATTGCATGGTAAAAGTCCTTGTGATGGAGTTTATGGAACAGTAAAAAATCTTGTTGCACAATCCAGTTTACAGTCACTTAACAATCCTATTGACACATCAAGCAAAATGTACAACTGGCGTATTCAACATGTCAAAGGAATATTATTTATTTTTGTGGACAAAGTTTCTATAGAAACACATATTACAAACTTCAATTTGGAAGAAAGATACCATTCTTCTTCAGATAATTTGCATCACCAGTCCATTTGAAAATTTAATTTATTTAACATAATTACAACATAATACATGTAGATCAACAGGCACATTTAGATCAATGTAACACATCAATGTAACACACCAATGTAACACATCAATTGATGTGTTACATTGATGTGTTACACTGATGTGACACATCAATGTAACACATCAATGTAACACATCAATGTAACACATCAATGTAACACATCAATGTAACACATCAATGTAACACATCAATTTGTATTAATTTTTGGACTAGTTTTTAAGATTTAGATCTTTGAAATCACAAAAAATTTCAATTCCAAAACAAAAATATCAACTTTAGTCTGCCATTATGGAATATTTTGTTCTTTTAAAAGTATCCACCTCATACTTGCTATCTTATTTAAAAGCTGTTAATTGATAAAAATAATAAAAAAAAAACCTTTTTACTTGTAGAGTGAAACTTAGTGCAAAATAACCGAAAATAAATTACAGATTTTCAAAAAATACTTTTCACATACATTTTTGTACAAATGTATGTGAAAAGTATTTTTTGAAAATCTGTAATTTTCAAAAAATACTTTTTACATACATTTGTACAAAGTCAAAAAGTTTCACCAAAATCTAGAGTTTCTATGAGGAACCTTATAAAAAATTGCTTCATTTGACATGGAACAACCCAATTACCTAATAATCTCGCTACGAAAAAAACAAAAAAAACTAGAACAATAGTTGGGATGATTAAAGTGGATTTCTTTCTGCTTTTCCACAAGCAGGAAAGATTCAGATAAGCTAAGTGATAAGCGCAGATAAACAATTTATTACTCAGATAAGTAAAAGAAATCTAGAAGTAATAGATGTAAATCTGCTGATTTCTAAAATAATGGAAGCTGGATTTTTTTGATCCAGGATTTTAACTTCTTTGGTAGTGGGTATGTGTAGTGGTCTTTTCTTTATCTCCTAATAAAGATTCTTTTTTAGATGAAATCTGATTAGCTGTTTCATCAATTTTAATGATAACTATTATCTTATGATTTTCAAAAAACACATACACATCCTTACCCTGGTGATGTATTTAACAATTAATTTGAAGTTTGAACCCTTTGTCTGTTTTTTCATATGCTTTTATTAACTTTATCACTTTACTCACATTTCATTTTAAATGCTTTCATTAAGCACCACTTCACTTTACATTTCATTTTATATGCTTTCATTAAGCACCACTTCACTCGATCTCATTTCTCTTTATTCTTTATCATTCTCATTCTTCCCAATATGCACTCTTGAGACTTTAAGACTGCATTCTTTTTTCTGTTATTTTTGATGTAACTGACAAAGCACATTCTCTTTATTCACCAGCTAATAATAATATCTGTTACAACAATATTGTTGTTTTTAATGGCTTTAATGTTCATTATGTTGAATGGCTAAGCCACTAACCCTGGCAAAAATAAAAATCACAACTTTTTTTTTCTATCTCAATCTTTTACCCAGATTACCCAGAGAAAGTCAACTTAGTGACTCATTTCTTAAACAATCTAAAAACTTTTCTTTGATTTTTGTTGTCTCCAACTTTAATGTGTGCTTAATTTATTCTTGTTCTGTTTTAGGTTTAGGAGGTTCAGACCATGCTGTAATCTTGCTAAAATTTTTATCTTTTGCATCAGATTCACCCCATCATGACACTTCTCACAATAATATAAAGTCTGGGATTCCTTACATTGTAGCCTTTGCACTAATATCATTCAATTATTACTATCATTCTGCTAAAAATTGCACCATTTATGTAATATCTTGGATTTAGGAAAGTTTTTATTCCTTTTTTAAATGCTACTTTATAATTGAAATTATTTCATTCATCTTTTTAACAAAAACAACTCTGTTTTTTGTTTATCATTGCAAGAAATGGAAGCAAAAAATATTGTCTAATGCTAAGGTCTTAAATTAATATCACATTTATCTCAGAAACTATATTCTAGAGACCTAGTGTAAAAACTCCCATTCCAATCTTCCATTGAAAAAAAAACTTACAAAGTTATTGAATCAAATCTTCCTCTTCCAAAAATAGAACACCAGGAAAGAAGCATGTATACCTTATTGATAGCAGATGAATTTTTTTTATCTGAAGTTTTACTATCCTGTAAAAACACCTTAAATAATGATAAAATAAGTTTTACATTCCTGTATAAATATCTTAAATAATAATAATAACAGAAAGGTTTTATCATAAATTAAATGGAAGCATTGAGGCAAGGAGTTGATTGCTTGACATTTCAAAAGCTTAAAAACAACCTAGCATAATAATCTTCCCATAAATTTTTATCATAAGGTGTATCTAGAGAACTGTTGAATCCTTTCAACTTAAATACTGCAAAAGAATCACAAGATTCCATATTTGGTCTCATAATGTTACTCATCTATAATAATAAAATTCCTGACACTTAAGTTACCACTTACCTCTAAGGTCCCTCTACTTTTTCACAATAAGGTAGACTGGGGCAGTTGGCCATAAGGGCAGGTTGGCCCAGTCAAGTTTGTTCAAAGATTATGTGCTTCAGCAAGTTAGCTATCCAAAAACTAATCCTTAACAAATTTTTTAAAATAGCTTGTTTTCATTTCTGATAATAATATTTTAATAAAATATCATACTATTTACCCAAAGTTTATTTTTTTATAAAAAATAAACTTAAGATGAATAGTAAAAATTAAATCAATTAGAATTGTACGCTTTTTTAATATTTAGTGGGTTCCATACCAAGGTCACACTTCAAATTTCATACCAAGGTTCAACACACTTCAAATTTCACTTTCACCAATAGCAGGGCACATTAGCCCATAACCTAACAAAATCAATTTAAAATGTCATAAGGTTAGGTGTCAACAAAATCATTTTAAATTGATTTTGTCAGGTTAAGACATTAATTAACTAACAAAATTAATTTAAAATGTATTAAAAACAGATTATGAACTTTTAATAATGTCACTTATAGTAGTCTAGGGTCTTGTCAACTCTTTTCATAGAAAAACTCAATAAAACGTGAAAAGCTAAAAAGTTACACATCAAAGAAAAAAAGCAGGCTAACATACCCTAGTCTACCCTATAACAATATACTCCAACAGATCACTTTTTGTTGCTTAGGAAAGACATCCGATCTAAAAAACTGTTGCTACAACTGCTAATTGCTACAATACAATAAGTAGCATTCATAAACAACTAGTTAAAAAAAGAATTTACAAACCAGCTAAACAAGAAATCCTTTTCAAAAATTTAAAAATAAAAACTTATTTTAAGATTCATAACAATTTTGGAAAAATTGTTTCTCCGTGCAGTGCCTTATTTTTGTTGCTCTAATTAAAAAACTATTTTGCAAATATTTCTCAATTGACATTGATATCAACAGCTAGAAATTAAAAAAATGTTTCAAGCCTAAAAGTGATCTGTAAGTTATTTCAAATTATAACAATCTTGATATAAAAGTAAAGACTATGAAGAATATTTATGCAAATATTATTAATTTATATGCTAAATCCTAAAAAAACTATTTTTAGGTATAATAAAAGTTGGAGAACTGTATATAATAATAATAATAATAATAAAAAAAAACATTTACATAAATAAATCATTATCTTCTAATGCTGACTTAAACTGATCTTTAGTTGGAATCTTCCCAACAATACCATTCCATCCTTCACTAAAAAAATAGAATAACAGAAAATAAACAGAATATTAAATAGTAACAGAACATAAAAATATAAATATATACATGTTACATTATTACACTACATACACACATTTTTCATATATACATAAATATAAACTATTTATACACATATTTAAATGCATTTTGAATATCTGAATGCATCTAAAATATACTATTTTCTGTTTTACCAAAACAACAAATTTTACAGTCAACTCATGGGTAATACAATGGTAAAGAAATACAAGAAATAATTTAAGTTCTTTTTAGTTTAAAAACAATGGCAGTGAAACAATCAAAATAAACTGAATGGCTACCACAGTCACCAAAAATATCATCAAAATACTGAAGAATTGAAGAGTACAGACAATATTGTGCAAGATGTACAAGAAATAAAAAACAAACCTTGACAAAAATATTGTGTAATCCAAATTCAATCATGCAAATATTATTTTGCAGTATATTATTTGTTATTTTATTTTGCACTTTATATATCATTTATATATATTCAATTTTTTTTTCTTTTATGATTTTTTGAATAAAAGTACAACAAAAAAAAAGACAACAAAATTGTTTGTTTTTAATTTTGGTTTTGATTTTTTTTTTATTTCAAACTGGATTGTTGGTACTCTCCTGTGCCTAATACAAGGGTAATTTTTACAGAACACTAAAAAAATAATTTATTTCTAGTTTGGCTTTCAGTCAAATGCACATTTTTAAACAGCTGTTTCATCATAATTTCAATATGATTTAAAATGTTTATATAAGTTTTAAACTATGATGAGAAAAAAACCTAATTTTTGACAAACTCAAATTTGTTTAAGTTCAGCAATTTTCAAAGATTACACTGAAATTTTTATTCATTAGTCAGTGTATGATATATATAAATTTTCTGATTTTTTTTTTTAGTTTTGAGATGTTGCTTTTAGTTGATAACAGGTACAAATTAATAAAGGGGCTCATAATAAGCTAAGGGTATGTGGGAAAAGTTTTTGAAAATTAATAAACATCTTCTAATATCTATTAAGCACCTAAGAGTAAACATTTGTATCACCTTTTTAGATGATACATATGGTGTATGTGTATCAGATCCTCTCCCCACTGAACATATTTAAAAATCAAATGTTTTATCATATTTTACCTTTTAATACCTCATAACGAAGGAACTTAAAATTTTATTCATAATTTACCCATTCAAAAGATTAAAAAAAAGGGTTAAATAACTTTTTTAAATCACTTTGCACTAAAGTTGCAAAACATAAAACAACTTACTAGTGTTGTATGTAAATAATTTATATGCATATTTTTTGAGTTATTCAACTCCCCAAGGTTGAAACTTTTATTACCTCCCCAAGGTTGAGAGTTTATTACCTCCCCAAAGTTGAGAGTTTTGATACAAAAGTAATTAGTATAGAGAGATCATATCAGTTTCATCATTTTTAGAAGAGCCTTTAATTAGAGAATTAAAAAAAAACCAGCCCTAGGTACAGGAACTTCCCTTATACACAACTTTATTTTAGATTCCATTTAATAAAATCTTACCTTTTAAACCATTCTGAAAACTTAATTTCTGTATTCTTTAGATCATTACTTGGGTTAACAATATAGTATATATTATTGCACGGTAATCCACCTTTTAGTAAAACCTAAAAATTAAAAACAATACAAGCCTTGGCCAGAACAATTAACTAAAGCTCTTAAGCTAACACTGCCCTACATTTGTTTACACTAGCAATTAAAGGCTCTTGTGAAAAAAATTTTTTAAAGTAATCTTCTTAAGATATTTATTAGAAAAATTGAATAGTGATAAAAATGATGAAATTTACAACAAACCAAAAGAGTTCAAAAATGAAATACTTTTTGCAAAAAACAAATTTTAATATTTATGCAATACAAATGCAAAATTTTTTAAATAACTGTGATAAAAAAATATAAGAGGTGTTCCTACCGGGGAAAGGTAGGAACACTTTTTAACAATAAGAGGTAAAGACCTCGAAGACAAAACTCGAGGTGTTCCTACCGGGGAAAGGATTTTAAAGGCATAGGGGCAGCTTTAAAAGTCCCCTCCCCTTCTTAACTATATCATATTTTATGATATACTTAAGTACATCTTATACTTCATGATATTATTTGGTTCAAACACTTTTAAAATCATATTAAACAAATCAAACACACTTGCAATTTTAAAAATTTTTATATCAATTTTCTTGAAATATGGAGACCTCTGATTCACTCTGATTGTAAGCAGAGACAAAATTAAACTTTAAAGCTGTTTTTGTCTCAGCTGCAAAGCTGTTGTCTACACCTTCTGAGTAATATTTAATTAATTTCTTGGTGCGTTCAACATAAAAATCGTGAGAAAAAGTAGTGAGAACTTGTTGAAAGGACATTAAAACAGCATTAGTTACAACAACATGTGTTTTCCATCTAATATCTAAAGGTAAATTTAGCACCATTCCACTACTAAGACAATCTAAAAGAATTTTTTAATGGTCTGTTAATGCAGAGAAAATGCAGAAAAAAACTATGTAGAAAAATTTAACTGTGATATCACAACAATCAACTGCACTGCCATCATTTATTTTGCAGACATAACACAAGTATTTCAAAACCTAATTAGCCAATGATTTCCCTGTTCATTGAGTTTTAAGAACGCTAGAAACCGTTCTATTAGTTGACCATTCTTAATGTACCGCACAACAACAGAGAACTGATTCACATGTGACAGATCTGGCCTTAAATCAACATAAAGACTAAAGTAGATAAAAGAACAATGTGAGGAAATACAACCTGCAAAAAACTGGTCAAATTGGCTTGTAAGTTCCAGAAGACAAATGCAATTTCCATTTTTAGAGAAACCAAACTTCTGTTTGGTACCACAAAAGGCAATATCAAATGTATGCTGTAATTCTTGACCTAGTCTGGTGATGAGGTATGACAGCCTTAGTGAAGCTGACTTTTTTTCATGATTGTCAGTGCTAATAATGTTTGGCTGGTCACTGTATCTGCCCCTAATAAACTGAGATGAAGTAGTTTTAGAAGCAAAAGCTTTACAAGCAAAAGTTTACAGAAGTTTACAAGCAAAGAAATATATTGATCATAACACAAAAACCATGCCTGTCAATACTCCTTGCAATTACCTTTTCTTCTAAAAAAAACTTTTGGTGAGCAAATCTTTTTCTGTTTTCCACCCTTGATAACACAATATGGTTTGTCAAAAAGACCTTTATGATGGTAGAAATTGTTTGATCCAACAGCAACCCATAAAGTTTTATTCTCCACAGGTAATTTATCCTCATTTTGATAGAGCAAATGTTTCCTCAATGTTCATAGAGCAAATATTGTTGAATATATTTAAAACAATTTAAAAAACCTTGCACCGGTACTTTTGAGACACAAAAAAATATATTAAAAAAAAAAAATTAGACACAGAGCACTGTCGAAGAGCATTTATTTTTGTCTTGACAAAAAGTCAGCATTTTTTGATTGGAGTTTGCAGTAGGTGGAGAATTTTAACCCAAAACAAAGTTGCTTACTGCTAGCAATTATTGTTAAATTGTTGAAAATCGAAGTTGTTGGAAAATTGTTGAAAATCGAAGTTGTTCAGATATTTTTTCACAACTATCATCTCATGAAAGTCATATACACTTTTTCAAAGTTAACATCTGCTAATGTTATCTTTGTTTATTGTAATTGCCATTATCTTTCACCTTATTCTATTCTCTACTTCTTTAAATTTCTTATTTGACCTTGTATGGAATATTTTGTTATATTTGAACTGATTCTTATAATGAGATCTTTCTTCTTTTAGACAAGGTTCAAAAATGCATTGTAAATGTTGCTGCACCTGATTTAACTAACAAACTTGAGTAAATGTCCCATAGTTTTAAGGTTATTTTTTTTTTTCTACAAATACTACCATGGTGTTAGTTAAGTGAACTATTTTCTTTGCATTCTGTTAACTTTTAATTTATTTAGTAGTTGCTTGCAGCCTTGTTATGAGTTGCTTAAAAAATAAATTTTTTTTTTTTAGGTTAATTTTGCATCTCTGAAATTTATGAGCTAAACTCTGTCAGAGCCAAGTTACACATCAAAATTTTTTTGAACTAACAATTTTTTTACTCTTTGTTTATTGAATTTAATAAGAAAATTATTTTTTTTCATAGATAAACCATTATCTTATGCAAAAATTGACTGCTTGCCAAAAAGCTGCCTGGAATAGCTAGCATTTGAACTTTATGAACTACTTCACAACATAAAATAAAAAAATTCAGTGAAAGGTGAAGAGACTTTTACAACAACTTTTTTATTATTATTTTTTGATATTTTTAGTGTAATTGATAAATAGATTTGTAATACAATAAATTTTCATTTTATCATGAACTTCTCCTAAAAACTCAACTAACATAACGGGTGACAACTAAAAAACGAGACTGGATTTAAAGACATATCTCCTTATAGGAATAAGATTTTAAAAATAGGAAAACTGTTTTAGAAGGTATTTTTATTCTAGTTTTTTATTTTATGTTTTTTTATTTTTTATAGAAAAATTAATAAAAAAATAAATTCAAAACAAGAAGAGATTAGAAAACGCGTGTATGAATTTTATTTCAATTACAAAAATGCTGGTAAAAAGTTCACTTGTGACCACTTTAAAGTTGAAAATATACCTAAAAGTACAATCTACAAGATAATTAAACGTGCTGAAAGTTAATCTGGGTACCAAAGAAGTAAGGAAGTGGAGTAAAAGCTAAAAAAATGACGTGGATAAACATTGAAAGGCTCAAACTCATGTTTATCGATAAAGACAGAGTTTCTCAACAACAGATAGCTAAAAAGTTCAACTGTACTCAGCAACAAATTAGTAAAACATAAAAAAAAAGAACAAATAATAAATCAAGAAAAAAAATGACGATTCCAAAACGCTCTGACCAGCAAAAAGCAGTACCTAGAACTAAGTGAGTCGATCGTGTCAGAAATTCAAAAATCGTAAAAACCAATCATTGATGACGAGTCTTATTTCACGTTAAATCACTCCAGTATCAATCGAAATGATATATTTTATACTAGTGATGTAAAATCTACTCCATCTACAGTTAAATACCAAGCAAAACAAAAGTTTCAAAAAAAAATTACTTCTATGGATTGCTTTTTCTAAAAATGGAATTTCTCAACCTTATTTTGTACTAAGTGTACTGGCTGTAAACCAAAAAATCTATTTAAACAAATGTATTAAGAAGAGACTTATTCCATTCATCAATAGGTATCATTCAGATGGTGCATATGTATTCTGGCCAGATTTAGCATCATCTCACTATGCAAAAACAGTAACTATGTACCTAAACATAGAAAACGTGCATTATGTTGAGAAAGCGGATAACCCTGCAAACTTGCCAGAATGTCGCCCTATCAACAATTTTTTGAGTATTTTCAAAGCCCTTGTCTACAAGAGTAATTGGCATGCAGAAAATCTTAAAAAATTAGGTTCTAGAATCAAGTATTGCCTTAATAAAATTGATATTGAGCTCATACGGAGACTAGCTCAATTTATACTAGGCCTAGTTGATAAAGTAAGAAGAAATGGTTTAATTGAGAACAACTGATTATATATTTAAAAACTAGAATAAAAATACTTTCTGGAACATTTTCCCTTTTTGTTTTATCTTATTTCTTAAAAGAGATATGTGTCTTTAAATCTAGTCTTGTTTTTTAGTTGTCACCCGTTAATAATTATAAAAACAACTCACAGAATTATTCATGCAATGAATTGCTGTAAACAGTAATGATGGCATTCTAACTACAGGCTGATTACGAAGCATAGGTATGCTCTCCCAAGGCAACCGTTGAAGATCCTTAAAAAAAAACTTTGAAATTTATAATCAAAAAATCAAAACTTTTAACTATAATAACAACAAATTATAGATAATATATTTTCATTTGAAACTAAATAAATTAAAAAAAATTTTTAATGTAAAAAATAATTGAGAGAAAAAAAGAATCCTAATTATTCCATATTATATAAGAAATAATTAGTTCTTTATAACTTGGTCTTTTTTATATAATCATAATTTTATAACCAAAGTTTCCATAACTGAAGCTTTGTCAGTTCATCTGTAACGCACACTTTTACTTTTTCTTATAAAACTCTCTATATAATGATATCCAATTATCTGCAAGTCAATTAGACATACCATACTCTTGCTCTTGATGCCTCTTCTGACACACAACTGATCCTATTATACCTCTAAGATATTAAAACTTACCAACAAACTCTATTTTTTCACTACCTTAATTTTAATCCCCTTTTCAACTTCTCTTCATTCAACTCAAGTATATATTTTTTTTATCTACCTTTAAAAACCAACAATATTAGAAGCACCTTGCATACTGCTACATCACTTTTGAACCAATTATTTGCAAAATGTACAAACAACAGAGTTTGCTCTAAATACTTACCTACACACTAAACCTGGCCAGTATTTTTGAATTTTCAACTTGCTCATTCATTTTTAATGCATTACCTTTGATTTTATATTATTATTTATTCAAAAGCTTTTATGAGTTCCACCAATGCTTTCTACAGCATTTTTTTTTCCAAAATAATTTCCTAAAAACTTTTTTAAATTTGCCTTACAATAACTATTTCATCTATTGATTTTATTCCAAATTTTTCATAACAATTTTTTGGTTGAATGAGGTAGGTCTTATTGTTTTAGTGTTTGGTAAAAAACTGAACTCTGACAATTCATGCAAAACACAGCTGTTGTTATTTCTAATATACATAATTTGATTTTATTAAAAAAAAGAAAAAGAAGAAGAAAAAAATGATACTAATGAAAATACATTATATAAGAGTACTAAAATCACTATAAATGAATCATTAGGATAAATTAAATTTTTTCTTTCATGATCAAAAAATTGTTGTTCAATGTTTTCAGTTTTTAACAAAGAATATATAATAAAAATAGAAAACACAACCTATATATTTTTTTATCTTTTAAAAAACTTTTTTTTTTGAAAGCTACAATAATGTTTAATAAAAGTTATCAAACTATTTTTACTTATCATCTCGTCTGTTATCAGCTAACAGTTATTAATTTTAAACAGAATTAAAAAAATAGTTATTTTCATAGTTTATAGTTTTATAATAATAGTTTCATAGTTTAGTAGACGTTTTAGTCTTTTGTAGATTTTAAGATTTTAAGTAACCCCTCACCAAGATTTTAAGTAACCCCTCACCCTCACCATGCAAAGCCATAAAGTTAAAGTCTAGTTAACACTTTATACAAAAAGTAATTTAACATGGAACTTTAAAAAAAAAAAAAACTTTTTTTTTTTTAAAACTCATTTTCAAACTATTTGATTTCAACAACTGTAAACAAAATAAAATCATAACCTCTGAACTCCTTGCTTCCTTAACAACTTCCTTAACAACAATTTTTTTATGGTCAACAAGTATTTTAACTTTCTAAATTTAACAAGCTATATGCAAGAATATTTCAAAATGAAAACTATTGCAAATGATCTGACCAATTCTCATATTGGGCTTATATTTTGTATTTTATGATTTTAGGGGTATCAGCAATATTTTATAATTAATTAAATTAGCTTTATTTAAATATACACATCTGTATTAAAAAAAGAAAACCAAATTAAAAAATAAATTCTTAATAACGCTTATAAGTTAACCAATTGTCTTTGACAGTTGGTTAACTTATAAGTATTAGTATACAAATTGAATT